GCTCGAGCCGCTGTGGCGAGGAGGACCCGGGCCCGGGAAGCCAGCTGACAGGGCACCTGTCGTCCGGGCAACGTTGGGACGGCCGTGTGGCACCAGGGATGCTTCTGGGACAGGTGACCGTAGAGAACGCGCAAGGGCCCTGTACGGTGTGGCTCAGGGACTGAAGGGTTGGGGGTTCGGTCCCCAGCCCCAGTGGGGTGGCAACCAATCGATGTGTCTCTCTCGAATCGATGTCCCCGCCCCGTCTCCCCCTCCCACTCTGCTGAAAATCAATGAAAAAATTATCCTCAGGTGAGGACTTAAAAATGAAAGAACATACAAGGGGTCCTGCGCCACAGCTTCACAGATCACGTCTTCAGGAGGAAATGTGAAAGTGGGGGGAGGGCGTTCTATTAGTTGAGACACAGCTCACCCCCCACCTAAGTCCCTATAAAGTGCACGGTCCAGCGGCTTTTAGTGCATTTGCGGGTATCGACCGTCATCACAATCAATTCCAGAGCATCCCCACCCCCCAAAACGGACCAACTCAACAGCCACCACGCCTTGACCCCCGGCCGCCAGCCCCCGGTGACCCCTCTCCACTTGGTCTGCGGCTTTGCCCGTTCTGGACGTTTCATAGATACGTGGTCCCTGTGACCGGCTCTTTCTCTGAGCGTCAGGGTTTCACGGTCCATCCACGCTGTGGTGAGTGTCAGGGCTTCACTCCTCTCTGAGGGTGGAAATACTCCGTGTGCGCATCGGCCACGACTTGCCTCTGCCGCAGACATCCGTGTACGGTGCTGGGGGGACATGTCATTTCTCTTGGGCACGCGGACGGGAGCGGAATTGCCGGATCACGTGGCGACCCTGGTTGGCATGTGAGGAACCGCCGACGGTTGCCATTCCCTCCCCAGCAGCGGGCGGGGCGGGAGGCTCCGCCTTCTCCGCCTGCTTCTATACTTGTTACATTTTCATACTATTTTCATTGATTTCAGAGAGAGGAAGGGAGAGGGAGAGAGAGAAAGGTCAATGATGAGAGTCACTGATCGGCTGCCTCCTGCAGGCCCCCACTGGGGATCGAGCCCGCAACCCGGGCACGTGCCCCGACCGGGAATCGAACCCCGATCTCCTGGTACCTGGGGCGATGTCAACCGCTGAGCCACGCCGGCCGGGCCACTTGTTGCGTTTTGATCACAGCGTCACACTGAGGTGACACCTCACTGGTTCTTCCCTGACGACCAATCATGCGCCTCTTTCCACGGGCTCGTTGGCCATTTATACGCCTCTTCAGAGACAGCCGGGTCGAGGCCGGTGTAAGTAAGACTAACTCCATCTCTGTGCCTGGTTTCTTTTCCGTCTGCGTCTTCCTGCTGTGAACTCCGACCTAACGCTCAGCCAGCGCTGCGCGGCCTCGCGGTCACGGAGGAGCTGTGCTCCGGGCGCTTGCACCGTGCAGCCACGGAGGTTTCCGTCAGCGTCGCCCGGAGCAGCGCAGCCGCCGGGAAAACGTCCACGGAGGTGCTGGCGTCAGCTGGAAGCAGCTGCATCTCGGGCCAGCAGGGGCGTGGCTCCCGGCTCCGTCCCCGCGTCTGCTCAGCGATGAGCACCTTCGCTGTGCGTCGTACTGACTGTGACAGCTGTCGGCCGCGGAGGTCAGCCCTGCGGACTGTGGCGTCGCCTCGGCTCCATCCCGTCCCTGGAAGTGACTCGACCCTCCAGGACACTTGCATTCCACGCAGCTGCTGGCCTTGTTGTTCAGTCTCGATCTGGGGGTCGCTGGACCCTCTCTCCACCCTCAGACAAATTTCTATTCACATTTTCTGTCCGGTTTTTAATTCAATTATTGAATTCAATTATCGAATTGTAACAGGTTATTCTACATACAAGTTCCTTATGCAATGTAGGATTGACAACTACAGGGTGTCCCTGAAAAATGTATGCACACTGATAGCTCAGCTTCGAAAGTGAAACGTATCTTAATAAACACCGCCTTTATCATTACTGTGCCTACACTGTGCGCACATTTTTTGGGCACCCTATACATTCTCCCATAGGCTGTTTTTTCATTTTCCTGGCAGTGTCCTTGAAGCAAAAAAAGGTGTTAATTTCTATGACGTCCAGTTTATCTATTTTTTTTCATTTTTGGTGTCGCATCTAGGAAGCCATCGCCAAATCCTAGGATGTGAAGACTTACCCCTGAAGTTTTCTCCTAAGAGTTTTATACTTTAAGCTCATCCATACTGAACTAATTTTTACAGGCGACGTGAGGGGTAAACTCCATTCCTTTGTGTTTGGATAACGGGCTGTCCCAGCACCAGCTGCTGAAAGACGGCTGTCCTCACCCGTTAAAACCCTGGCGGCGGCGGGACAGGCCTCCCTCATGGCCCGTCCTGGCCCAGCCCTTCCCCCCGGCTGTGCCCGCGGCCACCCACCTCTCTTGCTCAGGTACAGCAGCTTCGGGTCCCACTGGCCCTCCTTGGCCAGGACGGCACGGCGCAGCTGGAAGCCCACGTATTCCAGGAGCCGCTTCCGGGCCAGGAAGATCTCCCGCTCCGCCGGCATCAGCGTGTGGAAGGGGCAGTGGGCGATCTTCCGGTCCTGCGGCACAGCGCCAGTCACCGTGGGCACCGGCCCCCCCGGGTGACACACACGGGGTGGGGGGCACACCTCCGCCCTCGGCGCTCATTGTGAGGATGAACGGGGAGAGCACCCCAACAGCCAGGCCCGGGCAGCCGCGCCCGTGACGCGCCCACGACACGCCCGGGGGCCGGGCCTTCTCTTCCCGAAGGCCGGGACTCGCTTTCGTGGGGGGCATGAGGGACCTTTGGCCCAGCTTTGCCCAAGAGACCCGAAAGGCCCCGGCTCCACCCCGTCACCGGCAGGAGACTCAAAGCCGTACCTGGTAGAACTTGAAATACCCGTAGTCTACGACGGTGCCCACGGCCACCTTGTCCCCCTGCGTGAGCGTCACTGGGGCCAGCATGTCAGCCCCGTAATTGATGAGCTGGTCGATCTGCGGAGAACGGGGCTCCGTCACGCGCTTGTAGACCCCCCAGCCACCAGGAGGCAGGATCTGGAACTGGGGTGTCCAGGCCCCCAATGGCACCCACGGCTTCCAGGCCCTTTGGCCAACCTCACTGGCCGGCAGGAGGACAGCCCAGGGTTGTGGCTCCCAGCAGGGGAGCAGGCACTGCCCAGACAGGCTGCCACCTACGTTCCCCAGGGAGGCCCCTTTCCCAGGGGCACAGAGAGAAACCAACAAGATAGATGCGCCACCTCACGGACAAGAAGTTGGGGTGTCACTGCATCAGCTGTTGTGGGGAGTCAGGCCAGGCCACTCCTGACTCCCTTGATTAGGATCCTTGGCTGATGCCCACTCAACACAGAAAAATCTAGAATCCCGCAGCCAGACCGAAACCACGGCCCACAGCTTTCCTGAGGAAATCCAGGGGCCTTCTGCACATAGTTTAGATCTATAACCTTCGAGGGCAAGAATCTCTCATCCATCCTCAAGTCGTTAGAGCACCGAGGCTTGGAGGGCACAGAGCACGACCCCGTGAGGCCCCGCCTGCCGGGAAGGAGGCCAGACCCGGGGTCCCACACGTTCAGGCTCAGGACCCCGTGCCACTGGACAGTGTGCCCACCCCCCACGCCCACTGCCTCACCAGGGCCAGCCTCCTGTCCATGCTCCTCCAGTGCTCGTAGAAGATGTCACAGGCCACACACAGGGCACTGCCCAAGCCCTTGGTCAGGAGCAGGTTGGGGTCAGCGCCATGGGACAGCAGCTCCTTTACAACCTGGACACAGACAGGCCTGTCAGCACCACCAGGCCCCTCCCTCCGCTGCAGGAAGTCTGGGAGCGAGGCCACAGCTAGACTCACTGAGGCCACCCCGGGCGCTCTCCACGGCTCCCACCCATAGGCTCCAGGGCCAGCTGGGGGTGGGCACAGGGTGGCTCCTTGAGGGGTGGCTGCCATTCCTTCCACCCGGGCACCCCGCCAGCACTCTGTTGGCACACTGTCCAGTCTTGTTGGCCATCCCAGGGGCACTGCTGAGCCACATGGGCCAGTGCTCGGCCTGTCAGCCCCTCACCCCTGGGACCAGTCTGCCTCTGCCTGGGGCACCTGGGCCTCTCTGACCGCCTGGTCAGACAGGAGTGGGCCACAGGTCCATTGTTCCCTGTAGTGTCCCCAGCTGCCAGCCCAGGTGCCACCCGGAAAGCCAGGCGTAAGAACGTGCTCACCAGGTCATTCCCGCTGGCGATGGACAGGGAGAGCGGGGAGTGGCCGCTCCACAGCAGGCTGGTGTTCGCCCTGTGGGACAGGAGGAGCTGGACGATGTCCCTGGCGCACTGGGTGGGGAAAGGCAGAGGCCAGCAGGTGAAAGAGGCCCCGGGCCCGGAAGGACCTGGCTCGGATCCTTAACCCAGACGTCCCGAAACCAACTGTTTCCTCCACCCAGCACCTTGCCCAGCTCAGAGTCTGAATTCTAGGCAGGTGACTGGTGGGTGGGTAGATCCTCAAACAAAGATGTTTTCTAACCATCTGTTATTTCCAATGAAAAACAGGAAGGACGAGTGATGGGTGAATTGATTTAGAACTTGTTTTCCAAGGAAGGAGAGAGTCAGGACCCTAAGGCCGTCACAGCAGGCGGGAGCAGGTGTAGCTGGGGCTCAGGGTCTACCAGGACACAGCGGGGGGGAGGAGCCCAGTGCTGAAAGGAGACGTTTTGCATGGGGAGAGTCATTGCACCCTCCTGCCCTTCCCCCTGGGGAACCCCAATCTCCCTCCTCCTCCCCACTGGAATGCAGACGTGATGGCTGGACTGCTGCAGCCCCCGCCTCTCAGGCCTGGTATTTTGCCCCAGCCGCCTGTCCTCGACCTAATGATGATGTTGCCTCTAGTGTCCCCTAATTTTGCTTCCCCAAAGCATTTCCAAACCCCAAGTCAGCACAGAGGACACAGGTGTGTGGGTTGAAAAGCACTGTGTGCAAAGCCCGGGCCTGGCCCCCCAGGTCCCCCAGGCCCACCTCTGCCACTTGGTTTCCTCTTCTGAGGAATTAATCCCACGGCCCACGGGAGGCGGTGCTGCAGGGCCAGAGGGGCCACCACCTGGGCTCTGCAGGACCCAAGCCCGCCGGGGAACTGAGTCAGAGGGCGACTGAGGTATACAGGCCAGTTCCAGCCCAGGCGTCCCAGGCTGGCCACGCCCACATGTGTTGGGCAGGCCCCACACAGGGAAAGCGATGCCACACCGTGACCCACGTGTGTGCAGGCGTGTGCGTGGACGCGTGTCCCTTAAACGTGCTCTCACACAGCGCTTCAACACACAAGTCACGGGCAGGGCCTGCTGACACTCTGCTGTGCTTTGACCTAGTGTATCCCATCTCACTGTGGATGTGACCCACCCCGTTCTGAAACCCGCTCAGGCAGGATGGCCGGGGGCCGTCCCAAGGTCGATCCCCTCAGTGCAGCTCGTCCCCCACCGTCGCTGCTGGCTCACTGCCCTGCCCAACACACACAGACACACACTCGCACATGCACCTCCCAAGCACACACCCACGCACTTGCACACGCGTGCACACATGTACACACATTGTGACACATATAGTACAACTCACACAGACATGCTTATGTGCATATAGGTGCATGTACACAAGCACAGAACATGCATGTGCACATTCATGTAAACACACGCACGTGTGCACGCCCAGGGCACACACATGTGCACACACACATGTGCACACAGCTCCCACCTGTCCCGCAAAGGCCCCGCTCACCCTGTGGTTGTCCTCCCGCTCACAGGCCACGTGCAGAGGGGTCCTGCCTCCCTCATCAGGGACGGACGTGCATGTGCTGTAGTAGATGCTCGGCGGGCCTGTCTCGTTGTTGAGCTTCATGCTTGAAGGCAGCAGGTCCAGCTGTGGGCAGACAGAGGGCTCAGGCCCTGGCCCTGAGCCTTTCCCCTAAGTGCCCAGAGACCTGCCACCTGCCCGACCAGGCGGGGCCACGAGCCCTCTGCAGGTGCGAGCTCACACACAGATGCTCACTCAGAGGAGCCGGCTGCCCACCTCTCTGGACTGCAGGTCTGAGGCAGCACCCCGAGAAACCCTCTCCAACGCATCCTGCACGTGCACCCCAAGCCCTCCCCTGGCGCTGTCACTCGGGTGAGCGGTGTGCACACTGCTGCAGAGCCAGGCTGGTTTGGGGACCACAGAGCATCCACCAATCTTGTCAGGACAAGTGAAATGAAAGTGAAATTTGGAACTAAATGGACAGCACTGTCAGCAGAGGGCCCCGGGCCCCACCGCCCCCCTCCTGCGCGGCAGGCAGCCCACCTTGCTCGCTTTGTAGACATCGTCCTGGTCGGTCGCCCTGGCGTCCACGTCTGTGATCGCGTGGAGCAACAGCTCCGTGATCTTGACTCCCTCCTCCCCAGGAAGGGCAGCTGCAATGTGGAGGGGGGTCAGGGCCCCCAGCTGCGGAGGAAACGCAGGAGGGGTGAGGCACTGCTCCCGGGTGAGGGACTCCCCACGGTGCTGGGGCCTGTCCAGGGCGGGAGCCCATGCCGGTCCCAAAGTCCCATGCACAGCAGTGCTTTCTCACCAGCCCCGTGTGACACTCAGGACAACAAGGGACCACGGACATGTCCATTCCAATTCATAAAATGCTCCATCTGCCCGGGCCACAGACAAGGGTGCAGGCCCTGGTGCCAGTTTCATTTTAGACTGACTGTCCCTGCCTCCCTCCAGGAAAAGCCTGTCCTCCCTGGCAGGCCCCTTTTCAGGTGCCTGTAGCTCCTGATGCCAGTCCTTACTCTTCCAGGTGCCAGTAATACTGCCTACTCAAGTGTTTTAATGAAGCAAAACTTCCATTTGAAAGATGAATGTAAATATCCAATTCTTGATTGGGGATGGATGGGTGGGTAGACGGATGGATGGATGGATAGATGGGTGACTGGGTGAGTGCGTAGATGGGTGGGTGGGTGGATGNTGGGTGGGTGGATGGGTGGAAGGTGGATGGGTGGGTGGATGGATAGATGGATGGGTGGATGGGTGGATGGATAGGTGGGTGGAAGGTGGATGGGTGGGTGGATGGATAGATAAATGGGTGTGTGGGTGTATGGGTTTATATGTGGATGGGTGGATGGGTGGATGGATGGGTGGGTGGATGGATAGGTGGGTGGATGG